GGATCCAACCTGAAAGAGCTCCCAATGGCCACAGCTGGAATAATGTGAGCAACCAGGTACATGAGGGCACTGTTTTCTTACCCAAGGAATGAAATAGATCCCCGAGTTAAACAGAAACAAATGACTGAATGCATAGGTAAAGTGAGGAGGACAGATGAGTCCTCCAGATAGGAGACTGCAATATGTTACTACTATTGCAGTGTATTTCCCTCTCTAGGAACATGTTTGGACTGTGCGATGGACGTGGTGGTTTGCCTCCAAGGGCAGAGCTGAGAAGGGAAAATACCTCACAGCTGAGAGACTTAGAACCTGTGCCATCTTTTAATTTCTTTTTCTTTTTGTGGTTCTGGGGATGGAACTCAGGGGTGCTCTACCACCGAGACACATCCCAGCCCTCCTTTCATTTTTGATTTTCAGACAGGGTCTTGCTGAGTTGCCCCTGCTGGCCTGGAACTGTGACCTCTTGCCTGGCCTCCCGAGGGGCTGGGAGGTGGGGCGGGCCACAGCAGGGCTCCTGGTGCTGCTTCCAGCTGGGTCTGGGATGGTTTTGCTTTTGACTCTGCCCTTTCCCAGATTTTAGCTCTTTCTGTCTTCCTGCCATTCTTCTCCCGAGCTGTTGCTTCATTATGTTTAAAAAAACTCATAGAAAAATATTTGGATATGATTTTCATCTGTTCCTCACATTTCTGATGAATGCTTTCCATTCTTTCTCTCATTCTTACATATTATTTTTGTATGAACTTTTCACGGATCTAACTATCACCCTTTTTTGAAGCAGGCAAGTTTCTCCTGATTTGCAGGAAGTTCCTGAGAGTTCGGGGCCAGGGCCATCCAGATGTCCAGGGATGATACAAATGATAACTTCCTCATCTCTAGCGGTTCTCCCCTCCCTAACTTATCCCGTCTGTTCCCTGTCATTGATATACTTGAGCTCACATGACTTTTCAGATACTTTATGAAATTATAGAATTTGGAAATTAAAATGGGACTTTGAGTGTCTCTAGCTGCTGTTATTTGCAAAAGTGACCCCCAGAGGCCCATGAGCTAAAGGCTTGGTCTTCAGCTTGGTGTTATAGGAAGGTAGTGGAGCCTTTAAGAGGTGGGGCCTTTGGGGAGATCTTTAGATCATTGGGGGCATGTTCTCCAAGGGTTCAGGGGCCCAGTCCCAGCCTTTTCCTCTTCCTCTTTCACTTCCTGGCCTTGAGGTGAGAGGTTTTGTTCACCATCGCTCCTTCCACGTTTTGCAGTCACAGGCCCATAGTCAGTCATGGAGGGAAAGCTCTAAAGCTGTGAGCCAAAGGCCCTTATCTTCTTATGAGTTGATGACGTCGGTATTTGTTACAGTGATGGAAACCGACCAGCACATTAGCTCATCTTGTCTTTGTGGGTCGCAGCCTGCAACCTTCAATCTGTGGCACAACAAAAGGCTGCAAGGCCCGGGCTGGGGTACATGTCCCCAGCCACTGACTTTTTCTGTCATCTGATGCCACCGAGCCAGGGTGAAATGGTGTCCCTCCAGCTGTCCCTTGGCTGGGGGCTTAGGGAGAAGACAGGAGCCGCGTATGCAAGAGAATGTCGCACACATGAAGTCTTTCTGGTTGTGTTCTCCAGGCTGGGTGAAGGGGAAGAACAAAGAGCAAACAATCAGATTGTGACTGTGGGGAGAGCATGTGCCTTGGAGTTGGACAGATCTGTGTCTGACCGTGGTCTGAACGGACGCTGGTCCTGTGACCTCACAGATACTGCTTGAAGCACCTCAGTGATTGTTCCCATGAAGCGGGACTGTTGTGACTCCCCTTATGTGATTATGCCCATGTACAGGATAGGAGAAAAGTGGGCAGTCCCTCCCTCAGGTCAAGCAGCACTGGCGGCCATGGCAGGCGCCCCAGAGCCCAGAGACAGCACCACAGCGGTTCAGCACTGGGTCCCCAGGGCTCTCCGTGCCGAGCCAGGGGCAAGGCTGCTGACTTCCTGAGGCTCTGCCCTCTAAATGTGAGGTCCCCACGGTGCTGCCATGGGGGACACAGCCCAGAGCACCTGGGTGAGAGCTGGTCAGGACCCTGCTGGGTGCTGGGAGGTTTGGACCAGTGCTGGCCCAGGGGCTTTGGGTAGGACCAGTGCGTTTACTCCTGAATCTCAGTTTTCACTCCGCACATGGAAGCTTTTACCTTTGCATTTTCCTTTGGATGAATTTCCTAACAATTGTACTAGCGTGCTGTGACATGGCTCAGCCGTGATATTAGGAAAAGGTTATTTATTATTATTATTATTATTGAACCCAGAGGGGCTTGATCATCGAACCACATCCCCTGTCCTTTCTGTTTCCTATTTGAGACAGAGTCTCACTTAGTTGCTGAGGGTCTCTCTAAGTTGCCCAGGCTGACCTCAAACTTGCCAACCTCCTGCCTCTGTCTCCCAAGTCGTGGGGGTTACCGGAGTGCGCCCTTGTGCCCACATGTCACACTCAGGCCAGGGCTGGAGGACTGGGGCTCACCTACGGGTCAGCAGGTGGTGGTGAGAGTGACAGCCGGAAAGACATTTCTGAAAGAGAATTCTAAATTTCTCAGAAGAAGAAAGGAAACAAGGAAAAGATTAGAGAAATTAAAACCTTTGTGGGAATGAACCTGGGCTGGCGGGAATGTAAATTCCTTACTCTTGGAATATTCCATGGAGTGTTCCTCCCCCACCTCCCGCCCATGGACCTCTGGCGAGGAGTGCGGCCTGCTCACTTTATCAGGCAATGTCTCTTCTCAGGCTAAATCTGTCTTCTTGCCACTTCCATTCATCTGTCCTACTTCTTTGGTCAGCAGCCCTGTAAGTCCGGCCCCTGACAGTGACTCAGACACATCAGGCAGCTTCTCTGTCCCCCCAACTCTTTCTTCTCTGGGCAAAACAGCCCTCCATGCTTCAGTCACAGCTTGTAGGACATCATTGAGATGCTGACAAGAAGCGGCTCTGCGGCCCTCCCTGGTGGCCAGAGTGGCTGGCCTCAATTAGTCTGCAGGGCTTAACCCGTGGTCACCTTGCAGGGAGGAAATAAGGGCCCCTCAAGACTCTGAAAGGTTGGTTCTTGCCATCAGCACAAATGGTAAGAGACGGGGTGCCTTCTGGGCCAAACACAAGCCCGAGAGATGACTTTAACAAGAGGGAAGGGGACGGGGGAGAGGCAGACCGCGGAGAGCGGGGCTGGGCCAGAGAGATGAAAGTTGACAGGGTCTGTCCAGGGCAGGCTGGGGGTGGACGCTGAGTGTGAGTGATATGAACAGCCAGGCCACCCAGCGCTGATCTGTTGGACTGAGAGAGCGGCCGGGCTTCATTATAGCTTGGGGGCAGAGTCTCTCCACTTGGGCCACCTCCCTCGGATCCGATTCCATGTTCTCCCAACACTGGTGGGTTGGGGCTTTACCTCCAGCTCCGTGGCACTGGGAGGAGAATGTTCTGGAGGCTCTGTGAGCATTCTAGAGGCTGGAATGGGATGACTACCTGGGGGTCTGGTTCCTATGTCAGTGTACTGTGCATTGGGAGGTGCCCTCCATTCCTGCTGGGAGGCTCCCGCAGCGCTCTGCGCCTGGGAGTTCCCCTCCTGCCTGTTTTCCATGTCCCTCTTAATAGAGTTCCATGTGTTGGCTAAAATCACTCAATTTCCCAGACCCCCTTGCAGCTAAGGGTAAGCATGTGCCATGGTTTTGGCCAAAGCAACGTAGGTTAAATTCCCCGGGAAATGTGTCTTTTATTCACAGCAACAAACATGAAGCCTTGTTAGAAAAGTGTTTTTGTCCTTTTCCTTCTTTCTATCTGGAAGATGGATGGAAGTGCAGTAGCCATTTTGTGACAATGAGGACAAAAGTCACACCCAAGGATGTCCCAGAAAGAAGATAGTCTGTCTCCTTGATGACATCCATGAGCACCTGCCTCAGCCCTGAGTTGCTTTCCTGTGAATGTTGTAGAAAATAAGCCCCTTTCCATTTTTACTCCAGAGCTGGTCGGGCTTTCTGTTCTTCACTGCCGAATGTATTCTTCACATATACAGGTACCAAGTGGAGATTCTGAACCCGCGAAGCTGAGAACGAGACCCTAGAGGGTGGTTAACCCAAGAAGTCATGCACCCACAAGGCTCTTCTCCTGGGGATAGATCTCAATATTTTTTTTTCTGTTCACAAATTTAACTCATATTTTTAGAAATTTCTGATGAAACAGTGAAATTTAAAGAATAACGGGGAAAAAAAACACTGTTAAGCCCACCACCCAGCAGTAACCATCCTTTACATAGTGGTGCATTTCCTCAGAGCTATCTGTGGTTCCAGCACGTTCCACATTTGTCCCATATAAATGGGATTGCACTTTGAAACTTGCTATCCACTCAATAATTTATCCTGAGCCTTTTCTGGGAATTTTGTTAAGAAAACCCCTTTTATTGTTGGATTTCATGTAAATCTATATTGTTAACTTGAGCTATTTTAGTATTTAAATACTATTAGTTATTCTGAATAATTTAGCTAATCAATTTTCAATTGGTGTCAAAAATTAGACACCAACTGAGACATCAGTTAGACACCAACTGTCATGCTCAGGGCTACAGAGGAAGTCCTTGGTTGAGTGTCTTGGAGAGAGTTCTGATGCTCTTCTTTGAGGCATCTTCTAGAAGTGGCATTGCTGGCTTGGGGTGGACAGGCAAGTGGCCAGGGTCTCTCTGTGGGTCCCCGGGTTGTGCTGCCCCCTTTGTGTGGTCCCTGCCCCTGTGTTGTAGGGGGATTCTGGAGACTGTGGGCTCCTGCTGACTTGTCCTTCCACAGGTCTAACTGTAGCTTCACACAGATCCCAGCGTGGCTGGCAGAGTCTAATCGCACTCTCCGGATCCTCACTTGCTGGAGAGTTCCTTCTTTGTAGGCCCAAATTAGGCTTGTTTTGGGATCTGTTTATAAGGCAGTTTGTGAAAGGTTCAATTTTTGCAAGAGAAACAATAGAATAGATTTTCTTAAGAAAACCCTTCTCTTCCTAGCCAAGGGTGCGTTGAGGAGTTGCGGCTGGTGCCTCCCTGCATCCTGCCTCCTGTGGAAGGACCGGCTCTATACAGCTAACTGGGACACGGGAGGCCCTCCTCCTGCGCATCCTTGGGAGGCAGAGCAGATGAGGACTCAGACTGTGGGAAGCCATGGATGTCACCCAGCCATCGCTTTTCTCCGCGAGGTGAGCTGTGCCCCTTCTTTCTGCCCAAGTTGATTGACAGCTGGTAAAATGGATTTCAATGTCCCTGTCCTCATTAGGGGAATCTCAAAGCCAGCTTCCTCTGTTCCCTAGCAGAGAGGCTGTCCAGCAGCCAGCATGCAAAGTTTTCTAATGAAACGATGTAAGACAGAAGAACATCCTGTTCTATTCTCTGGGTATAAATGGCATTAAGTATCTCGTGGGATCAGGACCAGGACATCCTAGGCCTTGGGGTACCAGTCTTTCTTAGTGATGGTTTTCAAAATCTGAAAGTTGACTGGTGGGAGAAGCATTATAATTAGCAAATACCCAAGGTCCCCTCAGACCACCACTTCTGCAGGATGCTGCAAACGTCCCCGACACACCAACCCTCCTACCTAAGGAAAAGGGGCTGATTCCAAATCCTCCCACCTCCTCTGGTACAAGGCCCGAGGTCCCTTTGGAAATGTGAGTGATCCTGTTTCTCCTTGAAGTGCCTCCTCTCCAAGGGAGGCCTGCGCAGTGTGAATCCAGGCAGCTTCTGCTCAACCCTGGAGACGGAGCCCCTCAACCTGGGGTCGGTCGGTTTGATGCCTTCTTCATTGGCCCGAGATCTCTGCAGCTTTGATATCTCCAGGGGGAATGGAAATGTCCTTTCCAACTCCGTGACACAATTAGTGCCCACTTGGACTCCCAGGGTGACAACCCCTCCCCCCTCCTCTTTTGTCCTGACTACTGTTTCTGGGTCCCCTTTGTCACTTCTCCTGCCTAGGGTTGCTATCCCCACTCAGCCTGCTGGAGATTTTACCAGTGTTTGGAGTGTCTGACTCCCTCTCTGGTGACATCCGTGCCTTCCCACAGTCTCCCTCTCATTTGAAGGTCTCAGCTGCTTGCAAAAGTCTCTAAAGCACATCTATACACACAGCAGTACAATGTAGGTGGCCGTATAACCAATGGGATTCTGCAGCCTGTACACGTGGAAAAATGAGAATTCAGACCCCCTTTGACTCAAATGTATGATATGTCAAGATCATTGTATTGTCATGAGCAACTAATAAAAAAGTCTCTAAGGCAGCTATTGAAGATGGTTCTCAAGCCTCTCCTTGGGACTTTGCACAGTCGGGGTGTTTGCCTTTGTGCAAACATCTCTGCTCAGGGGCTTCCTTGTCAGACTTCCTGACCTTCTAGGTAGGGTACCAACCCATCTGCTTACCTTTTAAATTTCTCTCCATGTCTCCTACCACCTGTGGCAATCTGAATCTAAATCTGTGTTGTATCTGATCAATTTCTCAATCTTTGTATGTTTATAACAATCTCACTTCTCTGTTCCCTGACATGTGTATTTATGTCTTTATTGTCTATCTTCAAAAGAAAAAGAATCTCTGCGTGAGGACTTGTGTACTTGCAGGTGCGCGGCAGATACTTGTTGAATGAACAGATCCTCCTTAACACGCAGGAGGGTTAATCTGATTGAGGTGATTATTTGCAGAATCCTTCCCACCTGGGTAAGGAGAGAAGAAGGGATTTCTTCAGGGGATTAGGTAGATTACAGACTCATGGCTCCTGGAAGAAACAGATTTAGGCGTGAACTTCCAGGAAGACCTGCCCACATCACGCTGCAGAGCTGCCCGGTTCATGGCAGCCAGCTGGCTCTACAGCAGGAAGCCACGGCTGCAGCTGCTGGGTCTGAAATTGTACTTCTGCCACCACCTGCTACGGAAGCTCGGCACCTCTCCTGTTCCCCACATGACTCGGGTCTCAGTAGAGGTGACACGAGAGTGTCTGTGGTTAGTGGAACCTAAACGCCACGTGTGTTCTTTGACAACAAGTGAGGCTAGGAATAGGCTGCCCGCTGCTCTCCCGCACAGGAAGGTAATATTCACACTGTTGTCTTAGTTTGTTTTCTGTTACTAGAATATAATCCCTGAGGCCTGGTGATTCATAAAGGAAAGAGGTATTTCCAGTATAGTGGAGCAGGCCTGTAATCCCAGCTACTTGGGGGGCCGAGGCAGGGGGATTGTGAGTTTAAGGTCAGCTCGGGCAACTTAATGAAATTCTGTCTCAAAATAGAAAGGGATGGGGTTGTAGCTCAGTGGTAGAGTGCTGCTGGGGTCGATCCCCAGTACCGAAAGCAAACAAGCAAGAATAGAGAGATTTTAGCTGATGCCAGGCTTTTCTGAGGGCCTCGGGCTGCTTACGCTGAGGGGGGTGAGTGGAGGGGACGTGGGTGCGTGTGATGGCACTTGGGAATGTGCTGCCTCACTGTAGAGAAACCTGCTCTCCTGGTGACTAATTAGTTCCCTGAGAGCAAGGACTCTAACCTGCAGGAGTCCCCCAGGCAGGAGACAGCCATTGATCTTGCTCACACCCTAGTTGCCTCCCACAGGCCCGCCTCCTGTCACTGCCCCACTGGCCACCATATCTCCACGTGAGTTCAGGGGACAACCAGTACTGGAACCACGGCCACTGGGAAGGGGTGTTCAGAGGTTTGGGGTCCACGAGTGACAGATGCCCATTATTGTACTTGTCTGGGTTTTCCACTCTGATGGGATTAAAGGACCCTGTTGTCGTGATTTTAATTTTTGATTTGATTTTGCTTCTTATTTCTTTTTCTTTGCTTTGGCACCAGGGGCTGAGCCACATTCCCAGCCTGTTTTTTTGTATTTTATTTGGAGAGAGGGTCTCACTGAGCCGCTTAGGGCCTCTCTCAGTCACTGAGAGGCTGACTTTGAACTCTCCAACCTCCTGCCTCAACCCCCCAAGCTGCTGGAATTACAGGCAGGCACCACAGAGCTGGTTTGGGTCTTTTTCTTGTTGTGTAGCTTTGAACTTGACCTTGACCTCTGGTCTTTTGTTACATAATAGCAATGCTCATAGGCACCCTTATCACAGTCCTCATCTTATTAAAGTTTCTTCCTGAGGTGTGGTGTGTGTGTGGAGGTTTGGGACATATAGTCTTTACAGACTGACGTGGTTCCATTCAAGTTCTAGTTTCTGAGTTATTCTGTGGCCCTTTATGCCACACAGGGCTGCCCAGGCCCCACCCAGCCCCCACGGCACTGGGGCACTTCATTCATGGGCACCACGCTGCAACCTAAGACGGGTGTTTACCAAAAGGATGCCCCTCCTTGTGGGTCATGTCCTTCTTCATTGACCTGGAGGGACAAGCTTAGGGCCGGTGGAGTGATGCCACCTCCCTACTGCACACACACCACTGGCCACTCCTGTGGCTTATGAGCATGGACAGAACATTGGCTCCGAGTCAGGGTGTCTGGGGACGCGCTGCTTACCAGTGCTGTGGCCACCAACAGGCTGTTCCATCTCCACCCTCAGCATCCTCTTCTGTAGAAGGGTGGAGATGACAGTCCTTGGGAGAGCCACCCGGGGCTTGTCCAGTGGGACAACCCACCAAGAAGCAGGTAGCACAGGGATGTGCTGCATCGTCATCCACAGAGACTCGCCACCAGCACGGCACAAGTGTGTGTTCCCAGCACGTTTCAGGATGACACGGAATGCTCTTGGTAAGAAGCTGAGGGAAAGCTGTGCGCAGACCCAGTCCACGTTTATTTTAACATGTTTTGTAGAAAATATCAAAGACAACGATGGAAAATAGGGGATTACAGGCGACTTTGACCATCTCCTTTATATTTTCTGGTTCAATCTTTTTTCTGAAATGAGTCCAGGATCATTCCCATAAATCTTTGGAGCACTTCATGGAAACAGAAAGCTCAGTGTGGCTCAGTCTGTGGCTCAGTTCGCCGGGTCCCTGGCTGCTGGTGGAGACAGGGTGCTCTGTGGCCTGGTGCCGCCAGCACGGCGTCGGCTTCATTCTGTGCACAGGTACCCGCAGGACCGTAATGGCCATGGTGGATAAAAAGGGAGCAAGTGTGAGAGGGTCACAGAATCTAGAGGAAAGTGGGGAGGAGTGACCCGGGATGAGACAGAGAGACAGAGGGGGAGAGATGGAGAGAGACACAGAGAGACACAGAGACAGAGGGGGAGAGATGGAGAGAGACACAGAGAGACACAGAGACAGAGGGGGAGAGATGGGGGGAGACAGAGAGACAGAGGGGGAGAGATGGAGGGAGACACAGAGAGACACAGAGACAGAGGGGGAGAGATGGAAGGAGACAGACAGACAGAGGGGGAGAGAGAGAGGGAGACAGAGAGACAGAGGGGGAGAGATGGAGGGAGACACAGAGAGACAGAGAGACAGAGGGGGAGAAGGAGACTCTCAGACAAGGGGGTCATGGGGAAGAAGGCAAGAGGAGCCTCCGTTGGTGGCCTCTCTCCTCAGGCGGCTGTGGCACCGCCCTTGCTCGGTGCTGAGCTGAGTCACACTCGTGTTCTTACAGATGGCACCCGTGCTCTGTGGTCCACGGTCCTGACACCCGGGTGTCCATCTGGGATGGGGATTCACCATCTGCCAGGCTGGGACTAGCAGTGGCCATGGAGGCCTGGGAAGTGGGCACCGCCCAGATGCGACTGAGACAGCTCAGGCAAGGCCGTGGGCCCTGGCAGGGCCTGTTAGCACGGGACCAGGTGGGCGCCAGCTTCACGGATCAGCTGCTTATTCAGGGACAAAGTTTCATGCAGGAACAGGGTGACGCCAGTGGACTGACTCTCCTGGTGGACGATGAGCCACTGGACTAAGGAAGGGACTGGGCTTCTATAGGCTATACTGAGAGGTGACTCAGTAAGTTGGGGTCTGTTACTGGGGGAGATGGGGAGGGGTGTAGGGTCCAAGGTCCGTTTTGGGCACTCGGGAAACAGGTTTGTGAGGATTTGAAAGTTTGTCTTTACTGGGCAGTATTTTTATTTGGAGAAGAATGGAGGGTCTGGGGTCAGCGTGCAGAGCTGATCTCTTTCCCTTCAGGGTCCCACTGTACTGTCACTGGGAAGATTTATGGGGGACGGATCAATGCTTTGGCTTCCTTTCTAGGGACGTTCTGTCACTGGGAAAGGATCAATGCCATCAATGTGCTGCTTTGCTCTGTGTCCCCCTTCCCTGGCTGTATCATTTGGGGGTTTGTCACTTTCCAGATCTAAGAGGGTCACTCCTCCTGAAGCGCCCCCACCCCTGGCAGGACCCTGGCCCTCCAGCAGGGTCTGGTGGCCCAACCTTCCTTGTCTGACTGCCCCTGTACCTTCTCGAGCTCCCTTCCCTCAGGCTGGCTCTTATTACGTCCCCAAGATGACAGAGAGGGGGTGAAGGGGGCGAAGGCACCAGGCTCCAGCCAGGGGCAAGGGACTGACCTCAGGTCCCTGCCTTGAAGGGTGCCAGGGTGGCACCTGTCCGTCTCTGTCTCTCTGCCTTGGGTCCCTCTCTCTCGGCCTCTCCTTCCCCTTCTCTCCGGTCCTTTCATTTTCTCAGTTTTAGCCTCAGACTCTGGTCCGCCTTTCCCAGCTGCTTCCTCTGCCCTGTCTCCCGCAGCGGCCTCGCCTCCCGGCAGCTCCTGACCCAGGCCTGCCCACACCCCCCTGTCCTCTCAGCAGCCAGGTGGGCTTCCTGCCCTTGGGCCTCAACCTTCCACCTGTGCCCTAACCCCTGCCCTGCCCCAGGGCTGTGCTCCCCCTCCTCCTTGAACTTGGGTGGTGCTCCCCAGCCGTGATCCAGCTTGAGACCTCTTCCCCCTGCGCAGCCTGGACTCTCTGCCCCTCGTGCCTTTACCTCCTGGATCACTCTTTTTCTCTTTGGGAACTAGGGAATGAGCCCACAGGTGCTTTGCCAGTGAGCTATACCCTCATCCCCCTTTATTTTTTCTTTTGAGACAGGGTCTCACCGAGTCGCCCAGGCTGGCCCTGAACTTGCGCTCCTCCTGCCTCAGCCTCCCGAGTTCCTGCGATTTCTACCGTGCCTGGCTTCCTGGATCAGTTTCTGAACGTGCCTTTTCTCTCCGACCCTCCTCCCTGGCTCGGATTTGGTTTCTGGCATAAATACTTTCAGCCTTCCACGTGGTCTCTTTGCCTCCGTTGTTTGTGTTCCTCCCACACCTGTCTTCCCTGCTGTCACCATGGCGAGCTGGCACACCCACAGCCCCCACTGTCCACTGCCCAGTGGAGAGCCCCCACCCCTCCCGAGCTTCAGCGTGCTCAGTGGCTCTGACCTCTGCAGACACAGAAGAGGACCTTCCACCCTGTGCCTCGCCCGGCTGTCACCCTTGATGGGGATCCCCTGCCCCCACCCCAGCTTCCCCCTCTGATGCATCAGTGTGGCCTCGACCTCCCTCCAGCCCCAGGCCCCCCAGTGGGGGGGTAGCCTCTGCACTTGGACCTCCTCTCCAGCCCTCTCCTCAGGAGTCAGTGCCTCCTGCTGAGCCAAGGTGCCCGCAGGGCCTCGTCACACCTCTCTGCAGAGTGGTGCAGAGCTGACAGTCGCAGATGCACAGTGAATGTCAGAGGAACCCCAGGGCTGCAGACGCCATGAAGGGAGAAGGGGCAGCTGTGACTGCGGGGCCCAGGCTGCAGGGACGGGCCTGGTGGGCTGTCAGTGTGACGGTGACCGTGTGCAGCGTGGCCTGGCCACGTTCCAGGGGAGCAGCAGGCCGAAGGCTCTCTGGAGGAAGTGCTGCTCACAGAGAAGGGCACAAAGCTGGCCCCAGGGGGACCTTGCTGCCACAGTGGCTTTGTCATGAATTGTGGACCTGGCTCTGGGACCTGCTGGGCTCCTGCGCCTGCCCTGGAGCTGGACAACCAGGATGTCTGACCACTGAGGAAGTGTCCCTAAATCTGGAGACTCCTCCCCTGCCTCCTGAGAGCCAGGGGCAGGTTAGTGGCCCCTCCATCCAGGAAGAGACATCCAAACAGGACAGGAACCAGCATCTCCTGAGCTGGCACTGGGCCGGGCACCGGAGGGGGACCCTGGGCCTGGACACCCGAGCTTCCAGGTGAGGGAGACAGGTGAGGAGGCAATGCGGCAGCATGGCCAGTGGTGACAGAGCAGGCACCTAGAAGGTGGCCACTGTCGTCCTTATCACACAGCCACGTTCTGATCGGGTGCGACAGATGCAGTCTGAGAAGTGAGCTGACCAGATAGTTCCAGAAGGTGAGATGGAAGAGAGCAGGGCCGTGCTGTGGGTGGGTGGGGCCTCCACAGAGACAGCCTCCACGGGAAGTGACATTGGACTAATAGGAAGGCTCACCTATCATAGAGGCCAGGACAGGCACACTCAGAGGTAGGAGGACATGCAAAGGCCCCGAGGTGGAAATGAGTTCTGGTGTGGCTGGGAAACGGGGATAGTGACCTCTGCCTATGGGAATCAGCTGTTGTCACGACAGTGCTGCCCGCAGCCAGCCTCACACTCTGGAAGCAGCCTTGATGGTCATGCCCCCGGGTCTCAGATGACTGTGGTTTGGCTGTGCCAGGACGGGCCGTGGGTAACCTGCGTTGGAGCCGAGTTTGACTGTGTTTCCTGTCTGTTCTGGCACAGGCCGAAGTCTCTGTGGAGGAAGTGCTTCTCGCCCTGGGTTTCTGGAGAGCCAGCAAGGAAGTAAACCCTGCAAGTGCATCAAATGCTTCTGCATAAATTCTGTCCCCTCACATTCCAGTGCCCAAAGCATGTCACAGGGTCACGTTCACCACTGCTGGAGCTGGGGAGGCGTACGCCCGAGGAGTGTGGTCATTTGCTGAATAATAACCCAACCATCGCTCTCTACCTTGGGAGTTACCGAGAGAGAACGGAAGGAGTTGTGCTTGCTCTGAGCGCGTGGAGCTGAGCACCACTCAATGCTGTGTTCAGAGTGTGTGAGGCTGAAGTTCTCATGAAGTCATGGAAAGATCTGGATTTTAGTTGGGGAAGATCCGATAACAGGGGGAGCCTAGGGCCACACTCCAGTTAGAGGTGATGAGCAGGAGGTGACTGGAAGATGGGACAGACTTGGGGACCGTTCAGAAGTCAGGGGCTAGGGCAGGGGGACCCTTTCTAACAGTCTGAGTTGCTGTCTTGTGTTCTTGGTTTTCAAAATACTCACGTGGCTTTGGGATTTTGCATTGGCAAATATTTGCCATGTGTGAAAAGTTGTGCTATCACGGCCCCGACCTCAGTGGCATGGAGCTGGGCGCGGTGTCCGTGCACATGCAGGGAGGACGCGTCCTGCGGTACACTGCTTGTAACAGTGTGTGGCTTTGTTCTTCACGTCTCATGTTTTAAAATTTCCCACAGTGTAATATTAACTTAAGGATATTAAGGAATATCCTTCTACCCCACCAAGGAAGAAGGTGGGTTGTAGAGGGCACAGAGATGGAGAGACTGTGGGGGGTGGGGGTGCCCAGGAGGGCTTCCCAGTTCTTGGGGTCTTTGTACCTCGGGGCCTTTGCATGTCCTGAGACCTCTGAGTCTGCCTGTCCTGGCCTTTCTGATAGATGATTCTGTCCTATTAGTCCAGATGTTGCCTCCCATGGAGGCTCCCCCTAGGGAGGCCCCACCTACAGCACAACCCAGCTCTCTTCCATCTCACCCCCGAATCGTCTGATCACAGTGCTGGCATCCTCAAGCTGGGGAGCACAGGAGAGTGAGCTGGCCTGTGGGGTGGGGGAGGGAGGTGACGAGCCAGCTTGGACATGCTGGATGTGAGATTCTTGCTGGAGGTTTGGGTGGAGATGCAGGTCCTGGGGTGCAGGAGGACAGTCTGGGCATGGGGCATGTGTCTGGGAGTGGGGTGACCTGAGGGGCAAGGAGCCTGTCACTGAGGTTCTCAGGGGCTGGAGGGCATGCTGTGTTGGCATAAGAGATTCAGGGGCATGTGTTCCTCTGGGACTGACACTGCTAGTGGCGTTCAGATGTCCATTCTCACATTCTCTTCCAAGCCTTAGGGTAGTGATGCTCAGGTAGAAGACTCCAGCCTCCTAGCCTCCCTGTGTGGCTGGGGTTTGGCCAGTGGGTTGTAGGTAGCAGTGATGTCCGTGAAGTCTGGGGGAAGTGCCTCGAAGTGTGGCTAGCCCTTCTCTGTCCTCTCCTCCATCATGCTGCCACTACTTGATGGCCAGAGCTCTAGCAGTTGGCTTGGATTTGGAGGCTGCTTCCTGACCAGCCTCATGCAGCCCTTACCAGCCGGGTTTGCATTTTACATACAAACAAAACTTCATTGAAGTCACCGCTACTATGTTGTTCCGTGTCATTCTGCCGAACTTGGTCCAAATGAAGCCATTACGACTCTGGTCAAGCTATACCCTCACACCTGGGGGCATTTCAAGTCTGTGGTGGAAATCTCTGCGGGATTAACCACTGGCAGGCCCTGCCGGGCACAGTCGGCTGCTGAGGTGTTGTGCGCCACCTGGTGGTCAAACGGCAGATAGCACCGCTTCAATGGAGCATAGCCCTTGGCATTGGCTTTAGCAGCCATTTGCACCCGGCCCCTGTGCATCCTGTGGCCATCCACAAGGCAAGTCCTAGTGTCTTGAATGTTAGTGGACTCTGAAAAGAGCTCCAGGAATTCCGAACTGTACTAAGCTGCTCAGCCCTGGTGTGCTTGTGCTTTGGAGATCAAGTGGGGCTTCTAATGAGCCAAGTTGGCAGCCCTTCCCCTCCTGCCCAGGCTGAGAACTTTGGTACTAAATAAAGGCTTCATGTGACCTCTCCTCTGCAGACTCTGGTCTCAGAGCAATAGTTAAAGCTGGAGAGGAGGGAGGGAGATGACTCACTGCTTTGCTGAGCAGGAAATTAACACCAAGGGAGCCTAACCTGGCAGCAGCCTGCAAAGAATTGATTTGTGGTAGTTTGAGCCGTGGGCAAAGTGGCTCTATGTGACTGAGCTTATTAAGACTTCCTTCTGCTGACCTTGGGCACAAAACTTGAAATGGCCAGCAATATAAAAAGTAGAGTCAAGTTGCAAAAGTCAGTCTTCAAGTTTTAGAAATTCCAGAGGTTTGTGGGTGCCTCTGGAGCAGGGCGTGTGGGTTTGTACCCAGACTGGCCCACTCTGTGGCTCAGGATGATTTCTCTCTCAGGACTCTGTTTGCTAATGAGCCTGGGTTCTGGGGACCCTTCAGCTCTGCCACTGTGTCAACACAACCTGTGCAGTAAGTGTAGCCTCGAGTCACGAAGGCCAGATAGTCTTTGGTGAGAAGCAAAACTGTGGAGACCAAGAAGACAGCTTACCAGAACTCCTGCCCGAGGGGCTGGGGAAGTGTGGGGCAGGTGGCCACGGGGCGTGAGTCCTGCCATTCCACAGCGGGTGTGAGGGAAGAGACTTGTGTTCATGGGAAATGGTGTCCTACAGGCCTGGCCGCGTGGAGGATGGTCACAGGGCAGACAGAGAGGTCCCAGGGCCGTGGATGGGGGTGGGCCAGAGGCTATTGAGAAGATGGAGCTGGAAGATGAACTGAGATTCGGGGCATCTGGCTTCATATTGGGGCATCTTGGGTCTGGAAGGAAGGGACTTTGAATCATTTTCCAGCTGGAGAAACTGGGTACCAGAGGTCATGTGACTTGCGCAGACTCCCGCAGCATGGATTGGCAGGGCTGGCCAGCCACAGGCCCTCAACCCCAGGGGCACCCCTATGCACAGATCAGAGCTGGGATCAGAGCCCTCGTTCCTCGGATTAGAACCTGGAAAACCCAGAAACCTCTGCTCTGAAATTCTTTATCTTTTTTTGTGCTCAAATGACAAAATTCTTAGGAAGAGGTTTTTTTGGTTTTTTGTTTTCCCTTCAGTGCTGGGTGTGCCCTGGGTTCCACCAGGGGCTTGCACAGGTAGGCAAGTGCTCTACCCCTGGGCCACATCCCCAGCCCTGAAGAGGTTGTTTTTCTTTTTTAACTTTTAAAAAATATTTATTTTTCAGTTGTGGTTGAACACAATATCTTCGTTTTATTTGCTTATTCTTATGTGGTGCTGAGGATAGAACCCAGGGCCCTACCGCTGAGCCACAATCCCAACCCCCTCTGGAGAGATTCTTAAAGAAATCCTGGTTCCTGTTGATGGAGTAAAGTTTTCTGCATCCTATGGAAGGAGGC